GAAAGCAGCGCTTTCTCCTCTTCTATCGCATGTGAGTAGTGCTTCAAGGTGTCTTCTCCCGATATATTCGAATTTTTTTCTAGGTCTATTCCAACCATGCCAGCTTCTATATATTCATCTAATGCTCTTTCCTTGTCTTCTTTTGCATCACAGATCTTTTCATATAGCGCATCAATCTCTTTCATTTCTGCTTCATATTCAGCATTTTCGTCTTTTGGAATTCGAGTTATATTGTTTGGATTTCGGTAGTAACTTTCAATTTTTTCTTTTAGAACATCTGTTTTTTTACAATCCAAATTGTAATCACAACTATATTTAGTATACTTCTCTTTAATACTCTGTAGTTCTTCATTGTTTTTCGTAACAAATTCATAAGCCAAACGTGCAGCGCCCTCCATCTCTTCTAGTGTATCTCTCTTTTTGCTGCACGCTGTTTTAAGCATATCTACTATATAGTGTGTTTGATCCGTCACAGCATACACCTCTTCTTTTTCTTCTTTTGTAGAAGAAGAATTGCTGTGCTCATCTGGTGCATACATGTCTAAAGACGTAGAAGTACCGTTCATGTTTATGGCACTGTCCAATTGCTCAACTGGTATTGGTGTGCCTGCTTCTTTACTTCCTTCTTCACCGGGCTCTCTGTTTTCATACACTGCGCTATTTTCTTGATCTGTAGAAGATGTCTTCAGCTCGCTTATTACACCTAGTGCGCCTTCCTGCGATTTGTCTCGGTTGGGCGATGCGATTACGCATGTGTATAGCACCATTGACAGTATTAATAGCACACGAGCGACCATTATCACATATTCCTTTATAGACTCTTTGCTCGACTTCTTTGTGCTCGCCATGCTTTTTTCATATTTCCTGCTAATATACTTTATAGATCATTTAGATTTCTTGTTTGATATTGTGCTCTTCTAGATTTCTAGCTATTTCTATGGTATGCCTGGCAAAAATATAAAATTAAAATTAAAGAGTTGCACAAAGCTTAGTGATAATTTACATATAGGTTATATGAGAGGGGCGGTCAATCGGGTTATTTGCCTTTCTTTCTACACTATGTGCCAGATTACTTACCTTCCTTACGAGTTATCCGTATATGCTTGCATTCTTAACACATTTGAAGCACTTTTGCTAAATAGGCCTTCTATTGGTCCTATCGGTGTATATATCTATTAATACATCTATATTCTCTATTATCTGTCTATTCTTTTTGACGTGCCCAAAAGGGGGCGACGAGCTAGTCCGGAGATAATAGTCGAGAATAGAGAGTGAAGTTGTCCAGGGAGTTTTATTATTGGAATCCTGTGGATGTCTTCGGTGCCTTTGACCGGATGCATTTTTGATAATTGTATTCTTGGGTTCGGACATGTTCCTTTTTTCTGAATTATTCTAACTATTATATAGTCAGTTTTTGATATACGAGAAATCGTCCGGAAAGTGCATTTATCATAGATGTCCTTTTGTCACAGGGTTTATTGAAAGTGGGAATTTTACCACACTTTTATTTATGTGCATATGTCTACTTTGTCTTTTTCTTCTCTTTCAGTGTACTTCTTGTATTTTTATTCTCTTATACATTGGAAAATAAAGTGTATATTTCTTTTAATAGAGTAGTTTATTTTACATAGGTATAAAAAGAGAAATAAAGCGTGAGAGACAGGGAAAAGAAGAAAAGTAGCACATCACAGAGAACCATCACTGGTCAGACATGAAGGGAGAAGAAAGAGGGAAACAGAAAGAGCAACACACTACAGGCAAATAGAGAACGAAACAAGCACTTATTGCCAGCTAGACATACACTCGTATACACTTATCATAATAGTGTGTATTATGCACTACACACATATATAGAGACACTTTGTCTGCGCATCCATCACATTATACACATGCATAGCATTAAAAAAGCTCTGTTAAACATCCTCTGGACACACTCTGAGTTAAGTTTTATTTTTCTTTTCCTCTGGCTATACACATATTGAAGGAATACACTTTCTAGTGCACAGACACTGCATTAGCTTACTACCACTCAACTCCTTTATTTAGACTGTCTTAGTGCACATATCTTGGCTATATCAGAGTGGCCATCTAGCATAGCCAGGCTTCGGTGTTTTCAGTATACTGCTTTTAACGCCATTGCATAGTACACTAATATATCTAGATTAGATGATAAATAAAGAAGTCTATTTTACAACAGGACAGGCATTGTGTATCCCAGTCTGTTTTCTGAGTGCTAGCAGGAGTGTTTTCTAACTATTGGTCTTCACTACAGGAGAATAGTATAAAGATGATAACTGGTGTATTTACGTATGCAGATTGGATAAAATGACTGGTCCAATTAAAACGCAGAACCGTTTTTATTTATTGGCTAACTATAAATTGCATGCAAGTGATCTATATTTATAGAAATAACCGATGCCAATATTCATGAAGAAAAATGAGAAATTAAAACTGTTTAAAAGAAAATCTTTTTTCGATTTACAAAAAATGATTTGCAGGCTACTTCTAAGCCTAATCATGATGCAAAGTATTCTTGCAAGAATTGATGTGGAAGACATAAAAAAAGTCAGTAAGACCTTTGTTGGCGAGAAGCAGGATGTGGCTATTAACCCAAAAGGACCATTGAATCTGATGCGTGGATATATTGTAAACCGGAATGGATACATGTACAATAAGCGGTTTTATTCCCCTGAAATAGACACAGACTATGCACTGTCTAAGAAAGGACTATCTGATGAAAACGAGCAAGAGTACAACTTTACAAGAACACCTGTGAATGACAGGGTGCACAAAGATTTGGACACAAAATCCCTAGAAGGTAAGTATCTTAGCACTTACCATGCGCTGCTCATAAAGATGTTTCCGTCTGCAGATGGGGACCTCTCCATTGAGGCAGGAAGGTCAAATGCACTTACAAACTTCCTAAGAGCAGATCACGTTAAGAAAGACACAAAGTACATTCTTGCAGCACTTCTTCTTCTTTCAGAGGGCGTTGATGTTAAAATAGCAGTAGACTACAAAGGAAAGAAAAATAATCTTGTCATAAAAAGTAAGACATGCAAAGAGAAAGAGTTTGTAAATGTAGTAATGCATACTGCAGGTATAGACCCAGTTACTAATGAGCACAGCGACAGTATTTACCAAAGTGAGGCGGCTGGAATTGTCAAGTTCTATATGCAGTGCAAAGACAATCCACTGCTAAAGAAAGAAGGCAAGTTTGCAATGCCAGCCACAAAAGAAAAATTTGAGAGTGGAAAGTTTTTGAATAGCGCAGCCTTCCTTATACAGACATACATCTACGAGTTCATTGACACAGCAGAAGACTACAGGGACTTTGTGAATGCAGCAC